TATATAGGTAAAACTATATAATATTTACGAATAATTCAAACCCATCGCAATATATTTTGTTTACAAAAGTAGGCACTATAAATAACAATATTTTTTGTCTTTCAGTTAGTACACTTTTTCCGAACAGTGAATTACTTATTTCCGACTATCATACTTTATTTAGCATTTTTATGCTTCACATAACCGTGTTTAATGTTACAAACAAAACACGAAACGAATCCCTACAGACCATATTGAATGCTGTACAAATATTTTGAAACAAATTGAAGCAATTAGATTGTTTTCCATGGAAATAGTCCCTCTATAAATAAACGTTGAAAATGTTCATAAATTAATTACTCCAACTACTTTCGATAATTACCGACCTAATAGGATATATTGTTGTAAATCATTCATCAGTAAAATAACAATTGTTTGACCAACTGCAACAATTAAATATGATTATTTTTTCATACGAAATTAAAACGTACAAACATGATAGGTACCAATTATTACTATGCGATTATGAATGCGACATGTTTATTTTAATCATTTGTTTTGTATATTCGAAGCGAGTTATTTTAAAATTTCATATATTTTACAAAAATTTTCCTGATAGTAAAACAGCTCGCTGTTATCGACATTATCAATACACTCGTATGGTATAATATAATATAATCTAAATTAATTTTGTGTAATATTTTAAACATTGTGTATTTAAATTTGTGCATTGGGAATCAGGTGCGCAATTTAGGATACGGCAACAAAACTTGTCTGGACTCACCGGCCAGAAAGACCGACCTCAACAAACCGGCCGGACTGTACCCCTGTCACAAAATGGGTGGCAATCAGGTGGGAATATTACTTTTCTTACGGCACAGAAGCCTGTTTTGCATACAGGATTGTCGAGGTCGAGCCGGTACAATACGAATCAACATATCCTGTCGTAACATTTTCCTTTCTTTTACGCATCCTGCTTATACACTTTGGAATGATGATGATCCGTTCTTATATCCAACGGAATAATTAGGCTTTAGAAATAAACGTCAGGTGAATTATGTGCACTGTGCATGCGTAGTAGAGACTTTTCTACTCACACATTATACCTTAATACAATTAAATATATCATGATGAGTAGGTAATGACTAATGACTATAACCTAAAATTATAACCCAACTCGTGTACTTACAACACACGTCGGTCTCGCCTTATTCGAACGTCAAGTGACGCGTTCTACCATTTCTATTTTGCTTGTATTCATATTGTTTTGTTTTTGTTTGTTTGTTTTTTTTAACCCCGCATTATAGATAAAAAACATTGTGTCGAATATGTGCGTAGACTCGAAAGGCGATGCCAACAAGCCCGTCGATTTGTGGCAGTGCCACCAACAAGGTGGCAATCAGGTAAAAACTAAATCACATACACACATGGTATATTTAAATTGATACATTCATACCGATTAGATCGATTAACGATTTGTTGTGCGTAGTTCGCATATACATGAACTAAAACATTTTTGCATAACATCAGCTATGGGTGCTGGTAATCTGAAAAATAAAAAAAAGCTTCTAGTTTGAGAGTAAAAAATAAAAACTCATCACGTAGTGTTTGTGCAGTGCATTTTATAATAATAATATGCATATACCATTTTCCACAAGTTTTTTTGAATTAAACTCCCTATTTCTACGTTCATTATAATTCAGTATCAAAAAGCATTGACCCATCTACTAGCATCATAATATAATGTATAAATATATACCGATATAAATATATAAACATAGGTCTACTGCCTCCATTTTTAGAACAATTCTAACAACACATACATTCATTTTTTTACTTTTTTTTCAGTAATTTAACACTCATTTAAGAATCGCTTAAATATAGATAAATATATTTCTTTTATATTGAGAATCCTAACGTTTTACCTTAAATTTGAAGCATAATATATATTTATTTTATTACAACACTTGAATATCATTTTTCTTAGCTTTTCTATACATTTTAATGCCTATGTTATTGTAATAAGTAACCAGTGCAAATGTTCGATAGATGATGTCAACACATAAAAAAGTTCTATTTGAAAAGCTCTACTTCAAAATTTAAAAAATAGAATAAAATTAACGTAAAAAAAATATATTAAACCTAGTTAAAAATAACAAAAAGGTAGTGACCCAATGGTTTATAATAACTTACATGTAAAAAAAAAATATATTATTTTAAAAAAAAAAGCTTGTGTGTACTCGCTTTCGTCTTGTTCGCGTTTTTTAAACTTGGTGGTGTTATTAATTTTTTGCTTTTTTTGCTCCATCCGCTTTTACTTCCGACCCGTCGCTAGCACGCCCCTAAACACGATCATATCGTATTACGTACTGGCACTTTAGTTGTAAGAGCGTTTCAAAAAATCGTTGGACCTTTAATGAGAGGTGGTTGCGCGCAATCGCATCATTTGACGATGACATGATGTCACGATGATAACATACACGATAATGTTTTCATGTTCTCCACTATACTATCAATGATCATAATATATAATGATTTCAAATTTTCAATACTTCATTGTAGTTTGTATTATCCAGTTCAGTGGATTGGTGTTTTTCATGAGACTGTGCGGGCAAAATAATATTTTTTCTGTTACGTAACAACCACCGGGTGACTTAAAATGATGCAATGATAATAATAAGTATCTACAATATGTCGGTACCATCATTATCAATTCTTATTAGGTATTAGAAACTGTGGTTTTTTGAATGAATTTCGTTGGAAAAACTGCACTGCACGAGCTCGTATGCATGTGATCCGACATTGTTGCAACAAAGTCATGATTCTTACTAAATTAATGTTCTACTTAAAATACAGACATTTTCAAAGCTATTAATATTATTATAGTAATTGACTAATACACAAATGCATGCACGTTCCTCATAAAATATTATCATCTTCCTTCTCTGTACTCTATATTTAAATTCATGTCAACATACACACACGAAAATATTTTATATATATATATTTAATTATATAATATATCGACGTGTGTGTATGTCTATATACCTATATATACATAAGTATGCGTCATTGTATTCATCCGACAAACATTCTTCCCTGGATGTTGGTTTTACCGTACTCGGCCGACCTGTTCATTTAAATAATGTCCCCCTCGCCCCGCTCACAACTCGACTAATTATACTAATTGCGTGTTGTATGCTAAATGACTTTAGTACTGGATGCTCAGTAAGATCGGAGAGATCAGGAGAGACGAGTCGTGCTTGGACTACGCTGGCGGCGATGTAATCTTATACCCATGCCACGGATCTAAGGGAAACCAGTATTGGAACTACGACCCTAAAGTGAGTATTGACGAAACGTTTTACAATATTTACACATTACAATATAATATGCACTTTATTTCTATTTTTTTTTTTTTTTTTAATATTATCGGGTGTGTAATATTAATATAAGAAAGAAATTATCTCTTTTGCCATTTTTCATACATGTTTTATGGACTAAAAATCGTTAAACTTAATTGTTAATATATGTCTCTTTAATTTCTTGACAAGAACAAAAATTTATTGAAATGTATATGTATGGTCTGTTCACAAATTAATAATTATTTGATCGCATAAAAAAAGAAACTTTCATGGGTTGAAAGTAGGTGAATATACAAACATTTGTAAAAAAAAAATAATAATAATAATAAAGGCTGACAATTGATCAAACAGCTATAGTATTATTTTTACCGGTAGTGTTATAGACAACCGTTTTTTTTGGGGTGTGTATATATACTACTTCGTTATATTCGTATCAATATTCGTTTTTGTTCATACAAACATAATTTATTTTTATCTTTGTTGAAAACAAAAGTATATTTGAAGAATATAGGGTTTGACTTTTTTATGCGTTCAATAAAATGAAACACAAAGTTATTTTAGAAAACCAGTATATGTCTGACAGTGTTTGAAATGTTTGAACAACACAGTTTTAAATAATAACACTTTTCAATAAAATGGTCTGGATACGTTTCTTGGTCATAGCCAAAGGCCACATTAATTTTAGTTAAATATTAAAATTATAGATGAATAACAACGTTGTTAATTTCTCATATTTCAAGTTCAAAAGAAACCAAATTTTAAATTTATAAATATCTAATAGATTAACTTTTTAATGATTTAAATGATTTATAGTTCCCTATTTTATATTTTGAAATTTCGCAATTAAAAGTGTTGAATAATGTATTTCTTCGGACATGTTTTTAGACTAAACAGCTACGGCATGGTAGCAGTAGAAAGTGTCTGACCATCAATAGCACCAAAGACAAGCTGCTCATGGAAGAATGTGACTTAATGCTGGCCAAACAAATGTGGCAGTTTGAAAACTTCAACGCGACGTTGGCCACCGAGGACAGTCACATGAGGCATTAAAGACTTCTAACGAAAAAAATATATTAGAATTACTTCCTATATTATTATTATTTTGTTTTATATTATTTTTTTATTTTTGTTTTGATCAAAATTTTTCCCATTACAAAACTTCCGCGCTCCGTCGATGGTCGTTTTGTTTTTACGATTATTATTAACATGTATACCTTTGTTCGAACAAAACGAAACATTGTCGCGCTCAAACAAATCCAGCGACTTGTACATAACGCGTTCTTTTTTTATGTAAACTATATATTGTCATTTGAATAATTATTATCTCTATATGTATTATATACTATACGATTGTACTTAAACAGTATTGCGGCTATACGACGAACAAAACATTCCCTCGTGACATTTCCACATTTTATTTTTTTAATTTCGTCCAAATTATTTTTTGTTTATAAGCAATTCGTGTTGATTATTATTATTATTTTCAATGTACATAAATTATGTCTATATGTAACGTACGTGTTATATTATGATGTATAATTATTATTTTATATATAATATTATAAGCTCTATTCGTGTGTACACCTTCTCCGGAATGCGAACAAATATTATACGAACGATCATTATACTATTATGTATTACTATTTGAACATATATATAATTATTCCTTTTAATTGTTATTTATATTTAATAAAAATTGATAAAATATATTTAAACTTCGCTGTTGCGTATGTACTTCTGTAGTGTTTTTGGTAGTGACCCGAGATTATTTTTTCTGTATATACGCGAGTATACATCATAATTCATAATATTGTTTTAGTATAAAATAATACTTATCATTTATTACTATACTTATATTTTCCATTACGTATTATATTATTCACTGCGAATTAATATGACGTCTCGCCGCCGTCGACACTCGCACACGCTGACAAGTAATGCGTTTTCTGTTGGATCGCCGGAGCGGAACAAATCGCAAAAAACCAAAAACAGTTAAACATATAGCCAACATTGACGTTATGACGAATTATTTTTTTTTTTCATCCACTGAAAATTGAAATCCGAACACGGGTGCAGAGGACGGGTAACAAATCCAATATTTTTTTCCACCGGTGCCCCACGTGTAGAACCCTTTTAATCTGTACCTCGCGAACAATATCGGAGTGCGTTTTATTGTCATCGCTTGGAATATAATATTAAACAGTGTCGAGCGGACACACACACACACACACACACATTCGTATAATTGAATTATTCAATTATCTGTGGTTATCCGAGGCACTCCACGAGCTCACAATTATTTATTATCCCAACGATTCGTCGTCTGGTCTCCGTGTACCTGAAATAAAATATAGCCCTGTTCCCATCCACTAGGTATTATATTATTATTATTGTGAATTTGTGACGAACTCTCGTTGTTTCTCCCGTTTCTCAATAACTATTGCATCGGGCACAATATACTAGCATTGCCTATATTGGTAATTATTGATATAGGTACCTACAGGCCCGTCGCTGAGGCATAAAGTAAGGCGTACGTTGCTTTAGGATGGGATACAATTTTAAATGAATTTAAGATGGAAAAATTAAATAAATATCTGTCAAGAAGAGCGAAATTAAAATTCTCGATTAGGAGCAGAAAATATCTAACGTCGATCTTGGGTAGGTATATAATATTATATCTATTTCGAAATGCACGGGTAAATAATAACATGCGTGTATGCCTACGTGAAAATCTGATATATCAGTTGTGAATTTGTGATACAATAAATAATAATGTATGTAAATATTGAATTACTTCAGTAATAAATTATAATAACTTATGACCGATGCAGTCGTGCTACACGATGCGTTTCTTCCGGCGACCGGACGATATGGCAGTAAAAAAATATGTTAAAATATAATTGCGATAATTTTTTTTTTATCGAGTTAAGGTTCACCTCAAAATCTGAGGTCATTAGCCTGAGGTTCTATAGTAGGTTTATTACTGTGGGGTTGGTTACGGTTGGTTAGAACAAGTGTATATGTGACGAGGATTTGTTACTAAAAACCCGGGTGGTCACCCATCCAGGAACTAGTGACACCGGCTGATGCTTGACCTAATAACACGTTAGCTACTGAGGCCAAACACCGCGCTACAATAGGCCACAATAATAGCGATAATTATATATATTTATTCACAATATAAATATAAACACCAATTAAATTGTTTATTTAAAATTGAAATCCTGTTTGTCAATGAAGACTATAATGCATTGTTGCAAAGTTAAGTTTATGATTGCTTGAATGCTTGACTGGCTCGATTTCATAACCATGAACTATCAACAACTATTGGAAAATATGTTATATTATGTGTTGCTGATGCCGCCGCGCCGATCGCCGGTGAACTAGACGAAAATAAGGGTACCTATATTGGATGATAAAATAAAATTGAAAGGAGTAAATTTTGAATGTATGAATATCGACTGCTCGAACTTGAGGTATTAACCAGTGGCAGAGAACAGGAGACAAGGTAAAATAAATGGAAATCGTAACAAATATTTCCATTTATTTAGTATGTAAACATTACTATAATATCACGTGTGGCTAGTATTTAATTTGAATGTATAATCAACTATGATATTACCAGAACAATGCGATTTGTTTGTTACGACTTAGATCACTATATTAATACTAATATTTTTTATAGTATGTGAAGACTCAAGAGGAAAAATCTAAGGAAGTTAATACGAGGAACTAAATACGAGTGAGGTTCCAAGTGGAGTAATATGGACCACACTAGTATTAGACCTAGAAGTATAGACACTGCATTTGCGCATTTAAAATTCTGTTATTCTTCTATAATTGCCTGTTTGGATGAGTTAAGTCTGTCTTGAACTCCTAAACAACTTATTATAAGATATTTATTACTTCATTAGTATTATTGAATATAATATGTGAATTTAATATCCAACTGAAGTGCTGAATAAACGGTAATATATTGTTATTATGTCTAATTCCAGTATTATTATTAATTATAATGAGTCATTAATCAATTAACAAGTTGGTTAATAATTAAAGTACTCATTTATAGATAGAATTATATAGACTTGTGAAAATCTGGTGTTACCAGTTTGGTAGTTTTTAAACTTTTAAAGTGCTCCTCAAAGGAGGCAGCCTGAAATGTTGCGTATTAAAACAAAAGTTGAAAACCAACTGCCTAAGTATGAGTAAAAGCCATATTATACATTGAGCATTTGAGCGCATACGAGTGTAACAAACAATAATTAGTACAACTGTATAAAATTAAAAATACAAATTTATATTATTATTTATGTAAATATTAATTTAAACGATCACATTCCATGATAATTGTTTTAATTTGTGTTATACATTTTATGTGAGCTCTTGGTTATAAATGCCAATATATGGCATGGTGTGGCGTGGTGTCTATATCCAGTTGTGTACGCGCTCTGAGTGTAGGAGTGTTACTAGTTCCCGGATGGGTGACCACTGACCACCCAAGATTTTTAGTAACAAATCGTTCGCCCACATACACGTGTTCTACACCAACCAGTACGTCCCCCTTTATTAAAAACCTGTTAATAACCATGCAGTTAATTCCATAAATATAAATGTCTATAGATCACAACTAAATAATGTCCGCTTATATTCTTAGTTTATAGTACCTATGATAAAAAGTTAAATAAAGTATAATTATTTATTGATTTTTGTTTAACGAAAAAAAAATTAATTCGAAATCATCTTTTTTCTTTTTTCTAATAATATTTTCAACACTACGAAATTAAAATTATGTAAATGGCACCTAATTAACAAAAATATTTTTCAGAATAATATAAAAATTCAAAATGAATTTAATTGAGGATATTCAATGAAATTAATTTGATTTTAAATTGTACAAGAAAATTAGTTATTAAGTTAATAAACCCATCCAACAAATAAGCAATTTTTTCTTTAATGTTTCATTATTCATATTATTCAAAAAACAATTGATGACTAATAAACGACAAAGTTTCTATAATATTTTTATTTTGGACACTACAGTATAATAAATACACGTTCCTCAGAGATAAATATATTACAATAATACAATCCCATTGCTGCAGTGGTCCTTTTTCCAAACTCATATTCCAGAGGTATTGATTGAAAAAAAAACCGACTTGGACAACCGCGATGTGAAGCTTTCTGTATAATATTGTATCGTCGCCAAATATATATTGATATGATCATATTATAAAACCTGTAAATGTTGTTAGTCTAAGCATTTCCTTCAGCCTATCTCGAAGTCATTATTCACTTTTGATTAGTCGATTTTCCTCTATTTAATGTATGAATGTACGTGATGACAGCCAATAATAAGTGGAGAACTATGATTAGGAGAAGTGAAGAAATGTTTGGGAGGGGTGGTATGCAAACAAACAATTTGTGATCATACCCAGGTATATTTTCTCAAGTACCCATAATAATGTAATGTGTATATAGTGTAGTATGTGCGCGGTTCTTTCGAGTGGAAACAATTTTAACTAGGTACCTACCTATTTGAGGTACGAGCTGTTGTATATATTATACTATACAGTGTGTTATAATTAATTGGGAACTCAGTAACCCTACTTCAAGACGTAGTGCGAATATTTTATAATTGTTTTTTTTTTTATAATATGTAATATACTAATTTATTACTAATGGCCTTTGAATGTTTACCATGACGTATTACAATATGTTATATACTTATATGTAACATAAAAAAACCGATTTCAAATATTCACACTGCATCATCATGAACTAGGCTAGGTAGGTACTGACTTTTCAATAATTAATAATTAATTAACATATTTCGTAGTAATAATAAAATGTCATGTATGTATAATATTATAAGCATACCGCAGCTGCCAGTATTATATTATATCAGTACCTTACTATATAGTTGCCGTGAATCGCAATGGTTATACTTGCAACGGACTCCTAAGATTTAAAGTCTTAACCAGACGTCTGGTTTGAAATTGCCACCGAGTACCGACATTATAGAATTCTGCAAACCTGGCTTCCGGTTAATCCATATTATAATGTATGATACTATGGGAGGCGAATGGCAGGTAAGGTGTATAATGTATAATATTATGTTATTATTCTCGCTTCACCCACCACCTGTTAATATTTCGACGTGCGGTCGATATGACAATCAATCAGCAGCTATATTATAATATACGTTACTCCAGTATAATATAACATAATATAGGTAGTATCTTATTTATAAGTAGGTACTCTTGTGTATGGTTCGCGTCGAGTACTATATTATTTCATTTTAGTTCAGGCGTATCGAGGATTTAGATGGATTGCACTTCGAACGCATTATTAAATGCGTGTGTGCCTATAATGTGTATTAAATTTATTGAACGTACACTGCGCGTTCGACGTTTAAAGCGGCTGCTGTTATCGTTTTTTTTCCCCCCGTAAACAGACGATGTGGAATTAATATCGTATTTATTTGAACGTATAAAACAACAATGATGGGGCGTCGGCAACGTTTGACAAGCCGATATCGGTATCACGCGTAACAACTAACAAAATAACAATGATGGAGTGGCGCAAATGCCATACTGCTGCGCTCACGCATAATAATAATACCTATACTTGATAGCTATTATTTTTTATTTTTTATTGTTTAGTATGTTTACAACATAAGGTTCCATATTTATTGTTTATATTTAAATAATACTATTTACAGATTATAAATAATAAATAATTAGTCAATAGATTACTTAGAAACGAAAATGCCTCCGAATAGAAAGATTGTCGTTGGATGCTCAAATCCCTCTAACTATAAGCAGCACATGGTCCTTTTGTCGACTAGACAGTGTCATCCTTTCGTCAGTGAGTGCACCGCTGGTTATCATTTGCGAATCGTCTGTTTACTATTGTGCCAAAATACAGTACATTGTTCGCGCATCGGCGACCGATTGTCGTTTGCGTATTGTTTGCTTACCTGCTCCAAATTATCGTACATCATGGAGCATCAACATGCCGAACAATAGAAAGGTATAAGACTATACAAATAATTAAAATAACTTTTAATACCAAATTATGATTGAAAATTCAATAATTGTCATAATTTGCATCTGACAAATGTATATCTGATGTACGGTATACAAATCAGGTGGGACACTGCCATAAAATCAAATATACAAAAAATATAAGTGTTTCAATCGAAAATTCTCAGACTCATAACTAGCGCTCTCCTGTACTTCAAACCATATCATTCGCAAAAATCTACACATTTCTAAACTAAAATAGCAAAGCTATACTACTCTAAATTCAGAAATCACTATCAAAATCATAATATTAAAAATCTACTTTTCATTTCCATTTCAATTCTCAATTTTCTAGTTATCTTGTTAATTACTACGCTGATGCACAAATATTGTACGATGATTTGACGTAAGGTAAATGGGTGATGCAATAACTACGTGTTACTGTCTTATGTACATTATGCGTACCTATGTCTAAATTTTATAAGCTTTAAATGCTATAATTAGAGAGTTTTTATTTGATTCGTGTTATTTACAACAACCTATAGTTAAACCTTCTAGGCTACTCTTATAACAGCATCATAGTCCATAAATGATAATTCAATAGTAAGATGTATATACTTTATACAAGAGTTGTGTTAAACGTTACTGTATTTCCTCAATTCACGAATACGTCATGATTTTGAGAATCCTCTGCAGAAAATCTAGAAGAAAGTAATTTCGTAATATAATTATCAGATCAGCAGCATACAAAGTATGAACTAAGACCCAATAAATCTTTATAGAACGAATTGAGTCTCTGGTTACTTAAAGCCACATATTTATTGAGTCCATACAATTTAAAATATAACACTTATTGAGTCGTCCATGTTTAAATATTAACTAAGTTCCCTCAAACTTAAACAAAAAATACATACCTTCTTTCAATTTTACAGTCTTAAGACTATAAGAAGATATTCTACAGGTATGGTTAAAAATGTTTTTTTTTTAAAAAAAAACACTTCAATTTCTTTCACTCAATATAACTTAATTCACAACGTCGTTTATATAGTTACATTCATAGTGCTCACGGTGTACCTCGCGCGTAAACGAGAGTGTGTAATATAATACAATATTAATAACTGTAGGTAATTACTTATTATTACTATCGAGTATCGACAGTACAAACAAAATCTGATATTCCTGGCCTATATATTATATTATTATTATTTGTATCCAACGAAAGACATGCAATTGATGAATGAAGGATGTCACGTATAGGTACCCACGCATATAATATTAAATATTTTGATCTTATATTATATTCAAAATAGTTTATTATTTTTTACATATTTTTTTTATATGTGGAGACTAAATAATTAGTACCTACAGACGCATCGTTACGATAACATTTTCCAAAACTTATTTGTGTAAATATCTTTCAGAAATATTATAACTGTTATATTTTTTTAGTTCATCATTTGCATGGTGTTATGGCAATATAATAGGATAAAAATATATAATAATAACTAATTCAGCTTTTATTTTTATTTTATCACTTATATCATATTTTAATGTATTTTAATAAATCATAATAACTCCTCATATAAGTAACAGAAAGACAAACTTACACAGCTAATCAGTTATGTGGCAGGAACACACCTGACATAATATCTACCTATATATCTATAATTCCTAATAAGTTTGGCATGTTATCACAGCAGCCGATCACGAGGGTCTAATTGTCATAAAATACTGTACGATAGTATTTCCTTTATAAGGAATAAGTATAGTGTGAAATTCTGTCGCCAAAAAACATGACTATCTTAGTAGATTATGATAATGTAGCTTGTCTAAAGACCTACCATGACCGGGCTTACCCAGACCGACCCGGAATTGGGCCAGGCTGGATTTTATAAAATGCAAGACATCCAGGCTAGACCTCCATTAAAACAAAAGTTAAGGGCCGGGCCAGGCTTCTATGAAAAATTAGAAATTCTAACAGAACCAAAATTATAAACAAAAAAAAACATATACTATAAAATAAAAATTATAGATACGTCCAAGTGATGTATGAAGAAATTGACTAATCTTACTCGCCGAAAAATATTCGTAAGCCAGGCTAGGGCTTTCTAAACAATTTGGAGGGCCGGGCTGTAAATTATCAGCCCAAGCAGACCTCTAGACAAGCTAAAACATAAAGTTATTAAAATAATATAAAAAAAATACGGCCCTTGGGAATGGAGGAATTTTCCAATAGTCTAAAAATAAATTATAGGTAGTTAATTAAACAAAGATATAGGTACTACCTATTCATTAATCGATATTATATAATTAATGCATTACAATTATAACTGTATTATGATTAGATTCTCATGAAATTATAAAATTAAAAATTAATTCATCTGTTATAATAGTTATAATTTTTAAATTATTGCGAATCATTATATATGACATATGCTTCTATAAAATAATATGATGTAGTTCAGAGGTGCAGGCAAAACTTTACACAGGTCAAGTGGCAACATTTTGAAATCGAGGTTTTAATAATTGTCTGTATACCAAAAATATATAAACCTACCAGTTTATTAAAAAAAAAAAAAAATGTTAACAAACATATAACAGTTAAAAATATTTTATTATTTTATATCATTTTTAACAGTTTATTCAAATAACAAAATGGACGCCAACGAATGCTATGCTTTTTATTCATCTCTTATTATTTTTTCATGTATTTCGTCAAACAATAACAAAAACTTTTTAAATTTAAATTTAATAAACGGAATTGTTTATAAAGTTATCAATTTCTTTTTTCATTTGCATTAAAATCAAAATTATGGAGGTAAAGATGTAGTTTACGGCGCTTCGTCACAGTATTTCCGAATGTATGTAATTTTATTTTTATTTTTCTAAACGGATATATTTGTCAAGAGAAATAAATGACACAACATTTTTCGTTGTTTCACATTGTGAATTGACAGATGCTAGTATAATGATCAAAATAAAGGTTTTTACGTTCGTACATCAAGACAAGATGAGCAACGGCGACGGAGCAAAAAGACATTGAGTTATAGCGTGGCGACTGCAAGCGATCATTCTTTTCCTGCCAAGATTGGGTGAATATTTTTCAGCCATTATCATTTATAAAATTATAAAGAACTTAGTATAAAATAAAATTAAGACTTAAAACTTTAACTTTGTTTCTATTTTAATTTAAAAAGTTCAGATGTATGTTGTAGAATTTAATTTAAATGTGCATTTGTAGTTAAATTATTATACAACGAATTACTTAAATATAGAATTTATGCAGGTATGATAAAATCATAAATATTATATTATAACAAATCATTAATAATTAGATACCTATTATTTGTAATTAGATTATTAAATTTCGAAATGCATTATAACATTTATAACACAATGACATAACTTCAGTGTTTCATAAGATATGTTGTCACTTACAACCAAAAAAAATAGTGGCACTCCATTCGATATTTTTCTCTACAAGGAAGATCTATGAATCATAAATATGTTTTTGTTTTACATAACCATGACAACAATAACCTTACGAAAAATCGGTCAGAAACGAAAACGTGAATCCAGCACAAAAACATAGTTATGTTAAAAGCTATTTTATGTTATTTAATTTTCTTTTAAAAAAGTCTATTGCCGGGTTGCATGAATCAATTATCACTCCTCAACATCTAACGATTCAATAGTAAGCTAATAATCCCTTAAACATTGTTTAGGTCACCCATGATTTGTCCATTAAATTTTATTGAACCTTTAATAATTTTATTATGCATTTTACTTTCCGTAGAACTTTTCTTTTGTTAATTGTAGAAACATTTTTGAGGATTATCCTATACAATTTTCTAATGCAAGATATAAAATAGAAAAAATTATTATGAATTTTCAAATTTCAACTGAAAAAACATTTGAACATTTTCGGGATTTCGATGGCTTTTTCATAATTTGAACTTTAAATGCAAATACAAAATAATCATGCATAAGTACCTACCTATTTTCTAGTATTTTTAACTACTATTAAAACAACTTATATTAGACGTTGCATTAAATTGTCATGCATTTTACCTATTGAAAAAATGGTTATAACTTATAAGCAATATTTCAAAATAAATTGAATATGTAGTATATAGCAGCTTATATTATATAGATTAATAGGTAACACAAATGAGCACACAGTTTAACGGAATCTATTTTTTTTACAGTATTCCATAATTAGATAGTTAAATAGGAATAAAATAAAATAATAAAAATTCGTCAACTTAAATATAAATTACATAGGTATATTAAAAAATAATGAAAACGATTATCTGAATAATACAAATTCACCTAGTATTTATAATAATTTTAGAGTGTTATAAATTATAATCAACTATAAAAGCTCTGATTTTAGACTATAAAATCAATAGCTGGCTCTTAAAAGGTAGTCATTAGGCGGTGGAAACACTTCGCTCTTCGTGGGGCTGATACTCTTGGTTAATGCGTAGAATATGGAATCAATAATAAATAATTCTTCTCGCTTCTGAGCGTATATACATATAAGTATATATTACTTTGAATTATAAATATAATACCTATATATTACAATTTTCGTTCCATATTTAAATATTATGGTTTCATTAAAATTGTTTCTTATTGAGTTAGTACCTATCATTAAATATATTAGATTTAAATTAAAATTTGATAGAAAAGTTCTAATTCAGCATTTTGAATTTGGTGTGGTAGGATGACGTCAGCATAATGCTTTGGACATTAAAAACATTAATTAACATCGGAAGTCAGATTTGAGTTACGATACAACAGTACTATTTTTATTTAATTTTAATATTTTTTCATATTTTTCTGAGGAAATTCTATGAGAACCTTTCAATATAATATGCGTTTTCATTAGTTATACATAAGGACATAAGGTACCCACTTAATTTTCGATAATTCACGATTCCGAATTACTCAATTCAGTCGATTCCATGTATACCTTTTCATGAGGGTGTTGCAGCTAATGGCCAATGGGCATCCTCTCCCAATCATGTAACTCATGTCATTTATATTCATTATTCTTTATATTTACTTATTATTTTCTATTAGATAGAAATTATTTTATCTATTATTTCTTTAAATTTATTAAAAAAGTAAAAAACCTTTTTATTCCCACAATTCCGCCCGAAACGGCTGAGACGTTGCCGGGTGCTTTATTTTAAAAGCAATTTAAGACATTGAAATGATGGATAATAATTAATAATAATAAATTAAATCATACTATACTATAGTTCAAATTATGTCACAAGTTATTTTTTCCTCAAAATCAAATGAAAAATTGTTATCAACTAATCATAAATAGTTTAAAATTTTTAAATACCCAATCACTAATCATTTATTTTGTTATTCTAACTAATTATTTTAATTAATTTATTTTCATTTTTAATACAATGGAATTTGAAAGCAAATAATCAATATTATGTGTTTTATTTACCATAATTGGCAATTTTTATGCGGAATCTATATTCAGGTAAAATAAAAAAAACTTTTGTGTGACAAATGAGGAATCATGTACATACCTATAAAAAGGTTAATTATGCGGGATCGTATGTAGCCCTTAAATGTTATGATTTATATATACAATACACGCGTATAATGTATATACATCATAGTTTAATAGTAGGTATATAGTAATATTTATAATCAATAATATAAATAATAATCTCTATTTGTATATTTTAAAAATTAAAATTATGTGTTACAAATAATTATAATAAACTGTATCGTTAATAATATATGAATATCTATTTGGTATTTGCATTCGATAAATAGAAAATCCCTGACTAGACTATATAAATATCATGTTACGTGTAATTTGTCTATTCAAAACTACTTAATCAGTAAGTTGATCAGCAAAAAAATATTATTTTTTATATATTTACTTTTATACAATTTCAAAACCCAACTATATAGGTATTTTTGAGTTATTACACTTGAACTTAATTTTATTTAACCCCCCGATTTTTGTTTTGTAATGATTAAAATAAATTACCTACATGGGTAGGTAACCTACGCATATAGGTCGTGTATCGTGTTGGATTGAAAATTAATTTAAACGATTCTATTACGTTTTAAGCACGCACGAGTAGTAATAATAATAACAATAATAATAACGCGTATACATAACGCCATCTTTAGGCTATAAGGGCACATAATCACTAAAACTTAAAAGTTGAAACATATAGGTACCTGGTACATACCTACCTATATATTATATATTTATATATATTATATATTGTGTACGTGGTATAACGTTAATACCTATATAGTTTAATCGTTTAATGTGTAAATACATAGGTATAAACGTATGACTACGTATAATAATACGTATACAGGAGGTAGGTACTTTTAAAAATAATTTTACGTTTTTGTATTTTTAGTTTTGGTAATTAAAATAATGTATTGTTAAATAGGTATTATGTAACCTAAACATAAATATTATTGCACGTACGTGGTGAAGTAAATGCTATAATACTACGGCGTAGTTCAATGGTTCGTGGAAAAGGCCTATTCATGTCGATTTTATACAGCCCAAAGGACCGGTACATAATAGTTTAACTCAAACATAAATTAAATGTGTAAAAAATCACAAAAGTTTGTTTTTATGTGTTAAAAAAAATACCATAAATGTAGGTATTAAGCATGTATTTCATAAAGAATAAATCATAAATGCCTGTACTTACAAAGTTACAACATGTAAAACTACTAATTATTTATGTAATATAATTCACCAATTAAGAATTTAAAAATATTCCATATTTATTTTGGTGTTAATTGAAAACAATGACATAAATTTTTTTTTGCTGAGTTTCAAGAACAACCGTAAAAATATCCAGTTAAAATATGTGATGACCGCTTCAAATCCATCGCCAAAAACTTAATTCATTTTGATAATAGACAATTTATTTAAGTGGCTTTTTGGTAGTGTGGTACGATCATAGACCTTATACAGTTATTATACTAGACACTAGTATGTATATATATGGGTAGGTACGATGGTATTTTGTCGAATTATGTTGATGGTGTCTTGCAGCACGACTTTTTGTCGTTATCGTGTGGTTATTTGTCACGGATGGATCGTAGCAGCGTCAAAGTCAAAGAGATCAAATTCTAACAGAGAAACAGACCTATGTGGCTATGCCCGAAGCCCGAACGTCCGGACCAGTGTTGTAGTAACCACTCAAGGTTTATAGATAATACAGGTTGCCTCA